TATAATACATATCTTGATATACTTCTTGATTTTCATTACTATAAAATTGAGTATAATAGTAATCCTTGAATTTACAAGTATACTCTTTAATTTTACACATATCACAAATTGTTAGATTGATTAACTTAACTCTTGCATTATCTTTTTCTCGTATTGCTTCTTCTTCATAATTTATTAACCAATTTTCTCCTAAGAATTCATCCGCAATATATTCTACTAATCTTTCTATTCCTAATTTATCCGACTTTATTATTTCTGTTTGTACATTTCTTTTTATTAATGATTTTGTATCACCAGTAATTCCTTCCCACCAATTTCTAACATTTCCTTCAAAAGATGCAATTAAAAATTCTATTCTCCTTTCGGTATTTTCCCATGTATCATCTTTATTATATAAAAAGAATAATATCATTGAATCTGCCCAAGTTATTAAAGCTTTCTTAGTATCTATTTTGCAATCTAAGTCTAATTTTGTTCCTCCATGGTTAACAGGCTTATCATAATTATTATTTAATTCAAATCTATTACTATATTTATTTCCTTTGGACGGTTGTTTATCTCTTATTTTATCATAAAATTGCCTATATGGTTTATTATACATTGGAGCATAACTTTCATCTGGATCTATTGATTCTTGTTTAGAGGTTCCTACTGGATTAGGTCCTCCTTCAGTATTCATTAAGATTTGGTATTCATCATCTATACTTTCTAAATTTAGATGATCAAAATTATCTATAAGTAGATCTAATTCTTCATTCATCTTCTCTGTCTTGATTTTCTTCAATTTTTTGTTTACCTAATATTTTCTCTCTAGATTCCTCTTCTTCTATTATTTTAGGTAATATATTTTTCCTAAACTCATCATCCATGCTTCCTGTTTCTATTATTATATTTTTCCTTTCAATATGTTTTTTTCCCTATTCTGGTTATTTCTTTTTCTATAAATTTTTTATCTATTCTATTATTCTTTTCTTCATTTTCTTTTAATTTTCTAACTTCAAGTTTTAATATATTTATATCATTTCTAGCTTCTTTTACTTCATTTTTAATTTCTTGTACATCATTAATTAATGTTCTTATTAAATATTTTAATTCTTCCATATGTTCACTGATTGACATTTTATCTATTTTTTGATTGACAATAATAAAATACTATACACTCAGCATTTTTACACTATTTTATCATTTTATCATATTTTTGTTTTATTTCTTCAGGATTTGTTATCTCTTTTAATTTTTCATAATACCTTGTTTTTTCTTTATACCTTTCTTGTTTTAACTTTAATATCTGTTTTTCTTGAGTTTTAGTCATTTCTCCAGGTATTAATAATTCATCTAAAATTTTATTATTTATTATTCTTATTCTTTCTAACTTCCTTTCTAAAATATTTTTAGTTTTTTCCATTATATTTTTATGATGATTCATATATTTCTCTCTGGTATAATTCATTTTCAAATATTTCGCAAATTATTTCATATGTACGTCTATCTTTGATAAATCCTACAATTAATTTATGTAATATTTGTTCCTTTATTTCTCTAGGCAAATTTCTAGTTATATATAATGTTATTATTTTTAATTTATTAGGGATGGGGTTGTAAAATATATAACATCCCTTTTCTTCAATACATTGATAATAATTATTTATTTTTATAATTTTCATAAAGTAATTTCAGATTGTTATGAAATCTATTTCTCTCTGAATTACTTTTAATATATATATATGCTTATATTCTTCAAATAATATCCTTTTAATTATTTTCTCTTTTAAATCTAAAGGTAGATTTTTAATTACTCTAAAAATTTCTAATATTTCTTTTATATCCTTACTATATGTTCCAACTATATTATCTTCTTCTATATAACCTTCTATGTCAGAACTATATTTTACCTGGTACCTTAGTCTATTTTTATAAGTTTCAATAATTTCTAAAATCATAATTTTATTTTTTATATTTTCTCTCGTGATCTCTATGGCTCTGATACCAACTGTGCGGGTGCTACTATGAGCGAACAAAAATCTAATAATCATGAATCTAAAAATAAAAATTTTTTATATTCCAAAACTCTTTTATATTACTATTAGGTTAAAATAAAATCTTAAGATAAAGACTAATTTATTTTTTATTTGCCTTCTTATAGATCTTTAAGTAATTCTTCAAAGTCTAATAATGTCTGAAAATTTATAATATCAATATCTGTTATCATATCTATATCTGTTCTAAAAGGTATATCATATTTTGAAATATTTTTCTTCCTTTTTTCCAATTTATCTATGATATCTTGTATATCTTTTATAATTATTGTTCTAACAATTCCTTTAGCAAAATTTTCTAATAAGTTTTCTTTGAAGCATTTTAATATTTCTTGTGATGCATATAATTGTTCTTGATATCCTATCTTATCAATTTCTTTTTCAAACTTAATTTCTTTTTTTATTTTTAACAACCTTTTTTATATTATATGGTCCTCTCTTATATTTGGGTTTTTTCTATTTTATAATTAATCATTAATAATTCTCACAAATTTTTAGAAAAATTATATGTTAATTTTTTAAGGACTTAAATAGAAGATTTATATTAGATAAATGATTGTTTTTTAATATTTGTTTAAGGGTATTTTAGGTAATCCAAAATGTTTAGAAAAATCAAAGGCTATTTTGAAAAATCCTTCCTTTATTTAGGTCAATTTGAGGTATTTCCCCATATATACACACATATATGGCTAATTTACAGTACGCTAAAAATATCCTCCGCCGGAGCTCTAGTGGAGGGCTGCACCACGCACTGCTATTCGCTGCCCAGGGAGTTCGATATAGAAAGCTTGAAGTAATTCTCACCACGGTCGGTATCTAAAATTTTCAAATTTTCAGCTTTATATGACTGAATTCCATTAGCTTTGCTATCTGATTCAATTAACAAATAAAAAATATACGAACGGTGACTTTTCTTATTGTCTGTGAGTGAAC